ATATATATTAGCAAGGATAATACCGGAATGTGCAAAATTGACATCGCATTCGAAAAGGGTCGGTATTATAAGATTCTACCTACATTTTTACAGAATTAAGCGCATTTCTATGTTCTTTTATGATTGGAATTCCACACTGGAAATAGTTTTGGGTGTGGAGTTTCCTATACTGCTAGATAACAGGTAAACTGTAAACTGTGATTACAAACTCTTGTCATTATTATTGTGGATTTACAAGAATTAAAAGTAAAATTGTTGATATTAGACTTACTTAAAATACTTGTCTTGAAAAACGATTTCAAAAACTTTAATTATTCTAAAGTTAAAGAAGCTATTTTAGTATCAGTGTCATATCCTTTCCCAAAATTAAGATTGGTGCTAACGGCAAATAAGCAGCATGTAAGTACAGGAATTGCTTGTTGCAGAAGTGAGTAGATTAATAAAATTTAAATATAGAAAAAAACTAATCACTTTAAACAAAAGAAACAAACAATCTTACTACATTGACTGGGACTTGGCAACCAGAAAAAAACTATTTTAGGTGTTTCATTTCCACCGGCTACTAATGCCGCTGGGCAGACAGTGGATTAGAAAACCGTTGGCATCATGAGATTTTGCGTACATTTTCACATAATTATCACTTCTGAAAATTTAATAAATATCTTTCATCTTCCAATAACTTCACGAGCGCTTTTGTTATGTATAAAATTACTTTCAACGTTTTAGCAAAAATAAGGCCGCAATGTGCACATTTGACATCCCATCGCTTATTTCGAATTTGCTGGTACCTGCCAAGNTGCTAACGGCAAATAAGCAGCATGTAAGTACAGGAATTGCTTGTTGCAGAAGTGAGTAGATTAATAAAATTTAAATATAGAAAAAAACTAATCACTTTAAACAAAAGAAACAAACAATCTTACTACATTGACTGGGACTTGGCAACCAGAAAAAAACTATTTTAGGTGTTTCATTTCCACCGGCTACTAATGCCGCTGGGCAGACAGTTCTTCCTGACTAATTTTTAGGAATCATGGGAATGACGGTTGGAGTGAGAAAGATGAAACGGATGAAATGAAGACAAGAGAGAATTGAAAGATTATACATTATTGCCTGAGAATTCGGTCATTGCCAATGTTAATTACAAGAATACTTACTCACAATTTTGAAATTTCTACAATTAAGCACTCCGCTATTCTCCCTTTACATCAAATTTACATATTAACTCTCTGGAGACTTCAATGATGAAGCAAGAAAGAAACCCTCACGACATGCGTGCACTCAATCGGCAATTGTCAAACGAAAAAAATCGTTTAAAATAACAATTACTGCTTATGTGTACTATTTTGTGTGATGAATATGTAAATAAACTAAAATCTCAAGTTGCCACTAAACTTTTTTCTTGTGGGATCACGCATCGCCCACATTTATTGTGCGCATTATCAACACGAGACTTTATTAACAGAAATATTTAATTTCGCTTATTTAGAAATTACTCTTATACAACTTTAATAGACGGAAAAGAGGGAAACCCCAAATTCTGGTCGATTTTGAAAATTTAAAAGCTAAGTGTAAGTACATAACTTTAGTTTAAGTTTATTTGGGCATTAAAATTAGTGTTCAATTACCGAAACAGCGAGCTACTATTACAAAAATGAGTCTATTATCGATTAGGAGATTGTATAAGAGAAGAGGGCCCCGATGTCAACCCTGTGGAAACCCCTATCGCAGGATTGTCAATACTGCGTCAACCACTAATGAAGAAGAGTCTTACATTCCTAAATTGCTAAATAATCCTTCGATTAAGAATGGAAAATATTCCTCTTTCCACAACCACAGACTTTTTACTGTCGGTTTCTTGTGATGCGTTACCTTCGTAGGTACCTCCATCGTTGGCTGCATTTTAAAAGCATCTTTCGCGTCCAGCATCCACTGTTATTATTAGCCTTGGCGGAGAAACGTCAAGACACCTGTTACTTTACCTGCATTCCAAAATGGCGCCCAGGTATGCGAGGTAATAACCTCAGTTCAACAGTTAAGTTAAGCGTAGCCAGCAGTGAGAAAAAGAATCGACCGCGCGCGAATCGATCTTACCGATGGCTGTGTTTCGATAAGTAAATATGTGCCCAGAAACGTAATAAAAACGAAACTAATCGGATGTGCAACGAACACAAAAAAAAGTTTTTAACCTACTAGCCATCGTCTTGTCGCGAAGAGTGCCCTCCAAGTGGACGCGTGTGATATACTTAAGAACAGTCATGTTTTCAAGCTCAGTAATCTCGAAAGATGTCTCAAAAGGACTTTACAGAAGTACGTATGCTGTTTTATTTTTCTGCACCACGATTACCACACGAACTTTAGCATCGGTTGAATACCAAGTAATTAAATATGTTAAACGCACAATTTCAATACATAACATAAACAATTATTAAACAGTATTTAATAATTAATCTAAATAACATAAAAATGATATTATCTAACTTTAGTTTCAGAAATATAAGTACCTTTAATTTATTTTCTCAAGTAGAAGAGACGTAGTTAATAAAAGTACCCTTTTTTATGCTTTCGTAAATATCCAAAAGGATTGTAAAAAGCGATTAGATATCTAAGCCACTTTCAGTGTTAACGTGAGTGTAAAAATGCCTTCTTTTTAGTTCTCACGCTTAATTAACTGATCGGAACAATTTTTATTAGGTAGCGCACTCATTGTCAAAGAGCTGCGCTAACAGAGGTTCGTTAAGACATCAAAGTTAGCTACTTATGTATGTATATATATCTATATGGACACACATATACATTAGTACCTATAATATAATGTTGGTTACATAGCGAACTTGTTTCAAGTTAAAAAAGAGTAGAAAAAAAAAATGACAAACGATTTCTTGTAAGTACCGTAAGAAATTTCTGATTCTAGTTGTTGATCGCTGGATGTTATATAATTAATTTCCACGGATAATTAGATTCCAGAACAGTTTTAGTGTTGTTCCTTCTGGCGATGGAAATTGAGTCAGCTGAGTTAATGAAGAAATTTTATTGCAATTCTATGGCTATAATGCTCTCTCAATTTAGACATGGATGTGGTTCACAGCCTGCTTCTTTTAGAACACGTATAATAATTAGCTCGCTTATATACACACCTAAGTACACATATTTAGCATTCAGTTGTTAAAATTCACATCAGACTTTGAGATCTTGTCATCTGAAGAGGAAATGACATTTCTGTATTCTTTTCTGATGACGCTTGAAATTAATATTAAGTAGGTATCTAATAGTTGTTGAATGAATGTAGGTTTTCATCTAATGGTTGTGCTGTATTTTTCTCCTTAGAAAACTAATGAAGATATAGCGTTTGATATCAATAATTATTAAACTAATAAGCGTTACATATAAATCATTTAGTACTAAACGACATTACGTGATCTCAATATGATGAAACAGACATCATTTGTCTTATTTCAATAACCGAGTTTTACCAGCGACTTCGTCCACGTGAAGCTACTTCTACTAGTTGTTTATTAATAAACACAATAGAAAAAGCAGACTCTGAAAACTTCCTCTTGGTGTACACAAAATTCCGCATAATTCAGTTTAGCTGTTTCCAAAAATGGCCCGTACCTTTTTATAAGAGATCATCACCTCTCAAAGCTTAAGAAATGCCCTTCATCTTCCACTGATCTCACGTGCCTTTTTCTCATTATCATCATAAGGTCGTCAGTCTTAAGACTGGTTGAAGAACACCTCCACTCTTTCCTATCCTGAGCTAATCTTCGCGTTTCCCTAAAAGTAGGAACACCCTACATCCTTATCTATCTATGAACAATAATCTAATCTGAGTCTACTTCTACTCTTCTTATGTCCCATTTCTGCCTTTACATGTCTTTAACTAGCTCCTTACATATGGGAAGGTGCCCTATCAACCTATCAAGCCTATTTCTTATTAATATCCAAAGCGCCCATTGTTCTCCTATAATTTCTAGTACCTCCTCATTTCTAACCTTCTCTATCCACGGTATCCTTATCATTCGCCTGTAACACCACATTTCGAACGCTTCTAGCCTTTCTTTTCTATGTTCATTTTATAAGAAATAGAATAGGTCATTCGATCTTACGCTTTTAGAAGTACCAAATTTTTTAGCTGTCCTAAATTTTGCCGCTCCGATACTTTGCCGTTAAATTTTCAGTGTGGGATTCCACGCTGGTAATATTTTTGAGTGTGGAACTCGTAGTAGTACTTCCGCCGGGTTTCCTTTTCAATAAACTGTGATTATTTTAGTTTTTTTAGATTTATTTAAATATTATTGTGGAGCTACAACAATTAAAAGCTTCTTAAATTTCATTTTTACTGTAAAACTGCCTCGACATATTTGAAATACTTCGGTTTAGAAGTGCAAAATATCTGAATTTTAGAAAAATTTTTATAGGGTTCATATCATAGTAGTAAAGTAATGAACTACGGTTCGATTCCCGACGAGGCCGTGACGACAGCAACAATTTTTTCTCATTAATTTGAGATTATCTGTAGTAGTAAAAATGAATTCAAGAATTAGTTAACTTTTACGTAATACCTAATCTATTTCGACTTTACATTAAAATATTTTTTTGAAAAAAGGATTTTGTATTTTATTTAAAATTCTTTCTGGACCATTAGGTCACTAATCAAATGAAAGTCTTGAAAAGCAGCTTCAGAAACATTATTTATTAGATGAACCTAAAGTAAAGAAACTATTTTGGCTTTAGTGTCATGTCCCTTTTTCAAATCAATAAATTGCTTTGTTGCGGATTTAGGTTATGGGTTCCTATATATAATTATCATATTTATTAGGAAAAGAGTTTAGATCGGTGTTTTGAAAAATATTTGTTGCTACTATGTTTCAGTTTCTCATTCTTTTCATTTAGTATTAATACTCCCAAGAAGGTCAAATATTGAATTATTTTAGTTTTGAAGCTTTCCAAAATTTAAACGTGTTGAAGCAATTTTGGTTCAAGATTCCAAGGTAGCATCACAAATTACATCGAAAATGATTTCCCAATTGTTTACCTTTTTTTCGATTTCCTGCTTCGTTAGTTTAAGAGTCAGTTCATTCCTTATAGTAACTACCTGCATTTGATAAACCAAATATATAAAAAAATAATATCTGTTACACGTTATCAATAAATATGTTTTTTGCTAACCCATTTTATACCAATTAACTCGAAGATTTAGTGAAATCTATTTATCAGTCATTATTATATTTGATATTTTCTTACTTTTTTGTTCATGTTATTTTAAATTCTTCAGTTGTCTGTATAACTAAACAGATTTAGTTGCAAAACGTTACGAAACAGAATTTTAATGATATTTTCACGGATCGAAAGTAGAAAATATTCTCTATTTTCATGCGTACACAACATTCTTTAAGTACCTCTGTATGATATTAATAAACATTACTTCTTCGTGTTACAGTTTAAGTAGGCCATACTGAACTTTAACAGCACAATTGGGCACGCAACATTTTTGCAATAATTTAATTGGTTGTACAATAGGTAACTATTGAATTTGAATGACAAAAACACGGTTTATTAACCTTTGTAACAAAATAGAGTCAAGGCCAATGAAGGTAGTACTGTCTTTATTTGATTATAGAACCAACACCAACATTTCGCCTCTTGTTGGAAGGCGTTATCAAGAACGGTTCTCTTAGTTAATTAAAAGTTGTACCGATTATTGTACAAACGTTGTGTCTGTTCTATAATGAAATAAAGACATTACAACCCTCATTGGCTCTTACTTTTTTTTCATGTATAGAACCAGGGGAAGAAACAACGAATATTAACCTTGTAAATTTAATTTAAAAAAATCATATGAGGGGTATAGATGCAAAATTCTGATGAACAAACTGAGACCAAGACGAAGACCGTCCTAGTTTTGGTATTGTTGTTATTTATTCGGGCTTTGTCTTGTTTATTCGGCCTTGGTTTTGTTTATTCAACCTTGGTCTTGATCTTGCTCATAAACTTCTAGTCTTGGTCTTCGTCTTGCTGATATAGTATCGGCCTTGGTCTTGGTATTGGTCTCACTGATATAGTCCCGGTCTTGACCTTGATCTTGCCTGTTAGGTCTTGGTCTTACTCATTTAATCTGATACTTACATTTCTTTTTTAATAAAATACAAATTTTTTTATTTACCTGCACAATAATTGTTTTAAATGCTAAAATTTTCTATCATACATGCGAGCTTGTCATGAATTATAAAGAAAACAGTGTCGATAGTTGTGAGTTATCAAAACTCGAGAATCTACCCTTCGTCAAACGCATAAATTGATCTTTTAGCGAATAAAATAGTATAAAGTACTTGAAAGAATTAAAAAATATCAGAAAAACTGAGTTTGTCTCTATATATTTCAACCTTGTTGTCCAGACAAAGGAACAAAGAATACTTCCTCCTACGACATTCTTGTAAATCCGTTTGTTCAAACAGTGGTAAAGTTTCTTCTTTTTATATATAGTGTTAAAATAAAAAAATGTTTTGTGTGTAAGAAAGGAATATAGGTATACTTCGTTTACTTTCTGAAGCGATGTGACCTTCAGTTTGACCGGCGCAAAGTAGAAAAGAACAGCACTAGGCCAGAAAAGGAAGGAGACAACTTTCGGCCAAATTCTTAACCAGTGAGGAGCGTATAATCCGTACAGTACTGCACGGAAAAATTGACCATTTTATCCACTACAGTTGCATTGCTCAAACGTGCTGTTATTGGTACCATTTACTACTGAAAATATCAACGAGATGTTTATTTATATTTGAAGACATATTAAAGGTTTTAACGCTTGTTTTCGACTCGCACTACTATTCATGATTGAAAAAAACTTTTGGCAGGTACTGTATGAAAAAGTATGTTTAATGAACAAGAGTCGAGGGTGTAATGAGCTTTTTTCTCCCTACCTACGATTTTGCCAGCGCGCATCCAACACATTGGAAGGGGCAAATCGCTAGAGAAAGTAAATGAACTATATTAATGTTGTTTCAAATAGTTTAAGTAATAAATCCACCGGAAGTAATAATTTTTCGTTTATTTTTGCGTATTTGGTCTTGGTGTGACATATACGCTCTTGGTTTTAGTCTTGGTCTCTTTCGTTGGGTCTTAGCCAAACAAGATTTTGATGGTACACGGTTCTGCCCAAAAATATCTATCTGTCACTAAATTTGAGATGTAGAAGACGACTTTGGACCAATTACCTTCAGAGTAGATTACAAACACGTGATAATTCATCTGCGTTCTTTCCAGCTATTCAACTAGTCATTCATATTTTTAATCGTACTAAAATTTATTAG